GACAATTTAGGAAAAATCCAAACGGATGAACTCTCAAATAAATCTGATGGAAAATCAGAAATGAATTCATATTTACTCAACGGATTTCAGGAGAATTTTGGGGAAAAAAAGTAACATTTGTTCTGAAAATAAGGAATTTAAGAATTCTGAGGGAACTGAAAATTCCAAGTTTGGAGATTTTCTTATAGTTTGTCTTTGGAGTCAGAATTCGCAATACTTCTTTATTTTGGTTTGGCGGGAATTCAAATTTTTTCAGAAAATTAAAATTCGGAGATTTAGAGATTTTGTGATTTTGGGATTTTTAAGTTTTGAGGATCTGGGATTTTGGAATTTTAGGATTNTAAATCCCCGCTAACGGGGCTCCCGCGTAGAAGCAGGAGCCTCGTTGCCAACCCTAGACTGAAAAGATGTTACAACGACGAGATGGCGATCGGGGTGAAGATAGCACTTTGAACCTAATTATCTCAGTCCCTGTAAAAGATATTAAAATTTTGCCAACTGATGAAATGGTTCTGATATCAAGACAAACATTTTCGTCTTTGAAATTTTTGAATATCTTTTACAGGAACCGAGATATATTTGGTCAGAGTTGCAAAATGATAATTTTCATTTGTTGTCGGTTTACGCCTCTCCGGGGCTGAACCTTCTGGGCTCCGTTTATAGTACCCATAATCTCTCAAAAAGGTTTTGTAACTACTTGTTCAAGAAATGGAATACTTTGGAAATAAGGATATTTTTAATAATTTTTGTTTTCTTTCGAATTAGGTGACCTGTTTGTTTCAGTTTGTTTCGTCTGTAATTTTGTTCATAGATAGATTACATTTACCTAAATAGTATCATATTGCAGTATTCATCGAGTGCTATCATATAAAATCGGTCCAAATTTTGATCTTTAAAAGTAGGTGTAGATCAAGAATCCCCCGCGATCCATCATTTCAAAGTGTTCATATTTTTTTTTCTTCCGCTCTTTCAAACTTTCAAACTAAATTGCTCTTGAAATCATACATTCCCCTTCGTAAAAGCCTGAAAATGTGAACAAAGAATTAGTTATTAAATTTTTATGTATTAAAAAAAGGATTCGAATCGGGGGGAGGTTTGTGTTGTTTGGGGGTCACGAGACCGGTCAAAGTTGGGTTGTAAGCAAAAAGAGAGGATGTACAAAAGAGAAGCAGGAGCAACCGATGATTTTCTCACTGGGGGACACACAAGAAGATGGTGGAGCGAAACAAAAAACACATGAAAACTGATTTGGAGGATTTTCTCTCGGTAAAGAAAATGGTTTTTAAAGTTTTTGAAAAAAAATGAAAAAAAGAAGAAAAAGAAGAGAAAAAGAACCGGAAAATGAGATAAAACAGATCTAGAAAATGTTGAAATGGAATGTGACCAAAGAAGAAAAGAAAACGGAAAAAAGAGAGAGAGGGACAGACGATTCTAGGCGATTTTTAAGACGAAAAAAAAGAACAATTCGTGGAATACCTGATACACATATAAGGAGGACGTAACCCGCGAGAACAAGAAGAAAAAAAAGGATTTTTAAAGAAACAAAAAGAAACATGAAATATATAAGTAGATGAGAGAGGATACAGGCGGAGCAAATAGACAAAATGAGCAAAAGAAAGACTGGAAAAGAAGAAGAGGGTAACGGAGAATCAAGCGAATTCCTCGCCAAAGTCTGGAATCTCGACGTCCTTGTAGCCACGCAGCCAGTACGTCGTCTGCATTCCTTTGCCCTTCATCTCGACGGATCCACGTAGTTCCAGCTTGAAGCCCGCTTCTTGCATCAGAATATCGTACGTTTGTTGGGAGACGTGGATTTTCAGCGCTGTAAGGGTTCAGAATTTTAAAGAGTTCAAAATTTGCTCACTAGATTTAGAGTTTTAGTTATTTTTTTGAGAACTTTATGAAAATTGTAAATCCAAAATCAGAAGTTCATAAAGTTTAAGATTTCTGAATTTTTCGAGAATTTTTGAAATTCCTGGACTTTCTGAAAATATCGATTTCGAGAATTTAGAAAATTTCAAAATTTGATTTTCCAAAGTTTTTTGAAAATTATAAAAAATGCGAACTTTGAATCTCATAATTTTCTTGATTTTCAATATCGAAATTTCAGAATTCCATATTTTCAGCTTTTTAGACTTCGATATTTTTGAATATTCTGAAATTTAAAAATTTCAGAATTTCGAAATTTAAAAATTTCAGATTTCTCAGGCTTTCGAAATTTCCGATTCTCAGATGCTTCAACTTTGAAATTTCTTATTTTTAGAATTACCCATTTTCAGCACAAACTTTAAAGTTTCAGTATCTCAGAATTTCAGATTTTTAGACTTCGAAATTTCAGAATTCCGAATTTTCAGGCTTTCCAATTTATCGACTTCAAAATTTCAAAAAAAAACTTGCAAATTTCAAATTTTCAGACTTGAAAAAAAAAAATTCAGATTCAGAAATTCAGATTTTTGGAACTTCGAAATTTCTGATATTTAGAAACTCAGAATTTCAACATTTCAAACTATTACAGATTTTTACATTTTTAGATTTTCAAAAGTACAAATTTCAGAAACTCAGAAATCCGGAATTCCAGACTTTCAGAATTTTAAAATTTTTAGATTTTCAGAAACTCAGAAATTTTAACTTTAGATTTTCATACTTTCCAATAAAAACTTACGCAATCCATTGCTTTCCATTCGACTTGACGTGTTTACCGTATCACCAAACAGACAGTATCTGGGCATTTTCGAACCAACGACTCCAGCCACGACGGATCCTGACAATAATTTTTTTTGAGAATTCTAATTTTCGAACTTAATTGAATTTAGAATTTTTCAATTTTCGATTTTTTAAAAGAATTCTAATTTTGTGAATTCTTTAATTCTTACCCGAGTGCATTCCAATACGAAGTTTCAACTGCTCGTGCGGCCTATGTCGAATCACAAAATTCTTAACCTTATGCAACAAAGATAACGACATCTGAGCTATTTGATTCGCGTGATCGTCTCGTCGTTCGGGCAGTCCGGACACAACCATGTAGGCGTCACCAATCGTCTCCACTTTGTACACTTTGAAGTTGTCCACGACTCCATCAAACGCCAGATATAAATCGTTGAGCAGTGTGACGACTTGCATAGGTGTGGATTGGGAGGAGAGTGATGTGAAACCAACGATATCCGAGAAGTAGATGGTGACACAATCGTATGATTCCGCTTGTACCGCCCGTCCAGAAATCAGTTGATCGGCGATTGCAGGTGGAAGAAGTTGATGGAGAAGGTCTTCTACCTTTTTCTTTTCAGCCAAATACTCTTGCGTCCTTTCCTCGACCAATCCTTCCAAGTTATTGGCATACTGCTCCATTCTTTTGAGCAAATTGTCCACCAGATTCGACGTTTCGTTGTCTCGATTCAGACTTCTCACTGCTTTCCGCACGGATGACACTTCCGGCCGTTCGTGTGGATCTTCTGACCAACAGGCGACCATCAGGGAGAGCAGTGTGTCGTTCAGAGCATCGTCTCCATCGGCGGTTTCCGATACCCACGGTCGGAGGGGTTCTTGATCTTCGGATACTGGTTTACGCACTCGTTGGACGATTTCTGGAAGAATCAGAATTTTATTTCACATATCTAGATGGGAATCCTAGAATTTTGAACTTTCAGATGTTAAAAAATATGGGTTCACGGAATTTCTAAATTCCAGATTTTCAGAATTTCCAGACACCAAACCGATCTACAGTAGTAACCTGTCCGGAGCTTGAATGGCTTCATAGAACTCTGAGAATAAAAATATAATTTTTATGAAAAAAAATTCTAGAATCTAGATTCATCGAGCTTCAGGAGTTCAGCTTAATGAAATTTCAAAATATTCAAATTCCCAACAACTAACCGTTCGGTGACAAATCTTCATTCTCCAACGCGAACACTCCCTTCCTGAACATCATTTCGTGTAGAATGATGGCGAACGAATAGATGTCTCCCTTCTGTGTTCCCATCGGCGGCGCATTCGAGTCTCGCAACAGTTCAGGAGCCGTCCACAGCATTTCTGCAAAAATGTTCAAATTAGGGGTCATCAGAGAGATCATTCTGAAACAGTGGTTTCAATTTTTACGTCATGACCAAGATTTCAAAATTAGGTAATGACCTAGATTTTGATTTTCAGGTCATGACCTAGATTTTAGTTTTTAGGTCGTGACCTAGATTTTAGTTTTTAGGTCGTGACCTAGATTTCAAAATTAGGTAATGACCAAGATTCCAAAATTAGGTCATGACCTAGATATTAGTTTTTAGGTCATGACCTAGATATGGGTTTATAGGCCATGACATAGATTTTAAATCTAGGTCATGGCCTAGATTTTTTTTGGTCATGACCCAGATTATATATTTTACGTCATGGCCTAGATTTCACATTTTAAATCATGACCTAGATTTTAATTTTTAGGTTATGACCTAAATTTGCAAAATCAGGTCATGACATAGTTTTAGGTTATGACCTAGTTTATAGTAGGTAGGTCATAACCTGGATTTCAAAATTTAAATCATGACCTAGATTTTAAATTTTCAGGTCATGACCCAGATTTCAATTAATAGGTCATAAATCGTTTTAAAAACACTCACTCTTATAGTAGGCGTGCTCTCCAATCTCCTCCAAATTGATCTCCTCCAAACAGTGCAGCTTGTGAAGTCCGAAATCGGTGACCTTCAAAACGAATCGACTATCGACGACGCAATTCGACGATTTCAGCCTTCCGTGCGATCGAATTTCAGAGTTGTGCAAGAAGAAGAGACCTTTGACCAGATCGTGGAGAAGTGAGTACTTCATCAGTTTGTCCAGCTCAATCTTCTCATTTTCCAGAATGTCTTCAAGGGATCCTTTCGGGCAGTACTCGGTGACGACGCAATAGTGTGGAAAGTCGATACAGGCTCCGGTGAATCTGCAAGCAGCAATTTATAGTCATACTTATAATTTTAAAAAATGAAGATGCTGTTTTTTTTCTTTTCCCAATCCAGAAGATCAAATTTGAAATTACCATAAAATTTTTGACATGTTGGCCTAACTTTTGCAATTTGAGTTTTCTAGGCCACCAACTTTTAAGGCCTAGAAAATACGTGATATTCACCTGATGTGTTTTATAGGCCTTTTTAACATAGTGGCCTAACTTCCGCAAGTTGAGTTTTCCAGCCATCATGGTAAATATCCTAGAAATGACATGACATCACCTGATACGTTTTTTGGGCCACTTTAATATGGTGGCCTAACTTTTGCAAGTTGAGTTTTCTAGGCCATCAACTTTTATGGCCTAGAAATGACTTGATATTCGCCTGGTGCGTTTTCTAGGCATTTTTAACATAGTGACTTAACTTTTGCAAGCTCAGTATTCTAGGCCATCATGGTAAGTGTCCTAGAAATGACCTGTTATTCTTTTTATACGTTTTTTAAGCCATTTCAATATGGTGGCCTAACTTTCGAAAGTTGAGTTTTCTAGGCTACTAACGTTTACGGTCTAGAAAAACCTAAAATTCGCCGGATGTGTTTTCTAGTCCATTTCAATATAGAGGCCTAACTTTTGAGTTTTCTAGGCCACGTTTGAAATTTCAAACAATTGTGTCTCGGCTTCCTAGAAACATAATTTTTAAATAACTAACCTCGTGATATGATCGTGCTGCAAATCCTTCATCTTCTTCAGCTCCATGAGTTGAGCACGCGACAAATCCAACCTCGGATACTTCTTTGGATCGATGTTCAACTTTTTGATGGCCACAACCACTCCCTTGAATATGGCCGTCTTGGTGTATATTTGAGTGTTGTTCTGGGCTATCGTCTCCACTGATCCACCACTTCCGCTCTGAAAAATTAAAAGGATTGCTCAGCCAACCAAAAAGAGCCTCTCACCTTAAACGAAACCATTCCAAAACTGAGTTTTCGATTCTTCAAACTCAACGACTTCTTCGCTCCATTATCCGGATCCTCCTCATTGCTATTCTTTTTTCTAGCGTCTGACGATGGCGACGATACCCTTCGATCATTGAGTGGCAGCCGGAATTGAACCTCGTTGATCGGCGAACAGTCTCCATTCTCAGCTTTTTGCAGCGAATTCGGCGTCAGCCCTCCGTTCTTCTGCTCCTTATCCGACGGTGGTGTGCTCTTCTTTCGCGTGAAAATGCTCAGCTTTCGATCGATCATCGCCGAGATCTTACGCGTTGTTCCAGAGCTGGATGATCTCTGAAACTGGGAGACAAGTTAAGACGGGCGGCTCGGGAAATCTTTGGGAATCGTTTATAGAACCTTCTATGAACATAAAGGCGAAGCACATGGAGCACATTAGTTTTTATTTTTTTTTCAACTTAAAAATGCATTTTCAAGGCGATAGATTTCCATTTTTCACAGAAATAAGCTCCTCCCACTAACTTCTTTTTTCCACCTATAAATGCAGTTCGACGTGCACAGTAGTCAAGCGGACGGACGAAAAAGAAAATGCGCTCCATTGGTAATAACTATTTCAATGGAGCGCCAGTTTCTCTTTAGGGGATAAGCATAGGATGTCTAAATAAATAAAAAACAAAGGATCTATATGAACTTCTAAAAAAAGTAAATCAATAATAGTATGAAGGAGAAGAAGAAGAAGACGGCGGTGCCACACTTGTTCAGGGCAAACACGCTCTACTGGACTTTAGGTGCAGTAGAGCGCATGTGCCAGTGCTGCAGTGATAAAAACGACAATACAAAGCTTTTTTCTTCTTCTGAAAAATTCTGAATTCCGCCACGTGGAATAATAAGAAGGGATGCAAGCAGATTGGTGTGAGAGACATAAGGGAAAAATGGACCATATGGAAAACCTACCAGACGGAATCTGATCGGAATCAAACTGTCCTCGTCGAACTGCAAATTATGGGGTTTCTTTTTTTGGCAAACGCGCTCTATGGAGAGATCGTTTGAGGGAGGAAAATAGACACAAGGGAGAGAGATAGCTTATTTTTGAATTTTTAGAAACTAGGTCAGTAGATTAGTAGATCTCACCTTGTCCGAGTTCACCGACGACCTTGACGTGGATCTCAACAGTGGATCGGATTCAGGCAGATATCCATCATGATTCTTCCTCTTCTTCGCCTTCTTCTTCTCCTTCTTCTGCGATTCCTCACCATCCAACTCTTCCCACCGAATTTTCCAACTCATCGCGGCCAACTCCTGTTCCAGTTTGTAACGACGCCAGAAGAAGATAAACAGTCCGACGAGGACGAGAATCAGAAGGAAGGATCCCATCAGAAGATACACGTGGAGGGGATAGCCTTGCTGAAAATAGAGAAAAAAAGGGTTTTTAGGAAAAAAGGGGGCAATCTTACCGGGCACTTGCTCTTGTCATATCCACATATGGGAAGATCGGTTGGTGGTTTTCCGCCGACCCAATGAAGATTTCCCACCGTTTTTAGCTGATTTGATGCTCCACTGTAGTAGGCCACTTCCTGAAAACAATTATCAGAATATGGGCAATCAAGAGAAAAGGCAGTTAGACTGTCTAGTTATCTATTAAGATAAATAATTTATCAGTTCACAATTTGTTGATATATCTCATAGGAACTGAGATAATAGAGCTCAAAGTGTACATATAGTTTGGACAGCATTTCCAGCATTTTTCAGGACCTTAAAAGTTCCAGTCAAAACGAGAAAACTCACCACAAACTTGTCGCTATTCGGGTCCAAATCGAGCAGCGAGTAATCCGAATACCTATCACCATTAAGATCAATCGAAACGTTTCCAGTGATTCCAACGAACGTCCTTCCCCACATTCTCGACGTGATATTGTGTCCATTCCTCGGATCCAGACCCGATTGAATCGTCTCGTTGAGAGCTATGGCGTAGAGGAGTACGGCGTCATAAAACGCGCTAATGAAATTGTTCATCTCATACTCTTTTCCAGTGATATTCGAGTATGTGTACTTGACTTCCGCGCGTTCCTTGACTCGCGCCTCAAAAATCCTGTACTCTGCCAAATCGGATCGTCGTAGTGAGATGGTTTTGAGCGCTCGATATGCTTCTTTCGCCTTCTCGTTCTCCTCGTTGTTCGTGTCGTTGGCACGTATCCATGGTTGTTCGGCGTGCGATCTGGAACTTTCGATAGGGATTAGCAACATCTAGATTTTCGGTATTTTTTTAGTTGGGAGAAATTCACTAAATTCGATAGAAAATGAAATGCAATGTGTTTTTAATTTGGTCTAGCATTTTCAACAATGGCCCAAAAAGTCTCCTGTGGGCCCAGAATTTAAGAGAATCTATCAAAAACTGTTTAATCTATGCTTAAAATTCACTGAATCTAATAGAAAATAATCCCAAGAATGCGATGTGTTTTTTATTTGATTCAGAAAAATGATTCCAAAAATGCCCTTTTGGTTTCTAACATCCTCAATCTTTCACAACTTTTTTTTCACATAATGAGGACCTCATTTTTTATGAATCCTTCGATTAAAAAAAAAGAGGAAATTCTAAGAAATCAAAAAATATCTATATCTCATGAGGTTTGATTTTTTCAGCCGAAATCTTTTTTCTCATTCCCGAAAAAAATTCGGTGAATTGGAAAGAATGATTTCTCACGCTCTCTCTCCTCATTGAGCCAATGAATCATTTATTTTCGTTTTTCCAAAACCTTTTTTGCCAAAAAATTTCCTTTTTAAAAAAAGAACTCACCCTGTGGAAACGTCGATGTTGATGAAGACGTACTCCCCGCTTGTCGCCATTCCCAGATCGTAGGCGGCCAACATGATTTCTCGAACTGTATCCGGAGACGCGCATAGTATTATCACTGAAAAAAATTGAATTTTTAATTTCCAGAGTTCGAAAGCCCCCTTAAATTCGAAATTATCGAGCCATACAGAAAAATGTAGATCTGAGCAATGAGCTTTAGAAAACGTATCTTTTAGAAGAAAAGGGGAGGCGCTTAAAATCCAGCCTGATCTGGATCTTTGGAAGTTTTTTTTAAATTTGAAAATACGGTATCTGCTCCAATATAAGCCTACCCAAACCATCAACTTTGAGCTCAATTTCCTCGATTCCTGTCTGAGATATCAAAAATCTGTAAACTGATAAAATATAGGTGATAGTATAACAAACATTTTTTTCAATATACAGATTCTTAATATCTCTCATAGTAACCGAGATAACTGAGCTCAAAGTTGACGGATTGAGTGAACTTCTTTTAAAGGAAATACAGTAACTACGATTTTTAGAAGCTCATAGCTCAGCTCCCACACTTTCGTAATCGTCTCCATTCGAAATTTTAGGTTCTTAAGTGCTTATTCTGCTCCTCCCCTCCCAAAACGCAACGAAAAAAAAAATTTAAGACACCCCGTCTTTTCGTATCGATCTGTTGGTTGTGTTGTTTTTCGAATTGGCATGGGTTGGAAAAAGAGGCGAGTACTGGGGTTTATGGCTTAGTTGCATCATCAAAACGCTGTCCCTCCTCTTTTTTTGTTCCCTAATTATCTTATTGTTTAGTGCCCCCGCCGTTTTCTTGAACGCCGGAGGTCTAACGATGATGTTGATGATGGATAGATAGATAGACACCACGGCTCATTTGAATTGCAATTTCTATCCTTTCGGAGATCTCAAACGGATTGATGGGCCTCCAAGTCATTCAGGAAGTTTTAGAAGAGATTTTTGTTTGGATTGCTCATCCCGTTACAGCCCGAGGGGCTATTCATCATTATTTGGAACTCCTTTGCAAGAAAAAATCTGCATTTGTGACCTCCTCCTCCAAATCGGAGGCTCCGATATCGTCGCCACTTGACGGCTCCTGCACTCAAGGACTTCTTTAACACGGTCCTCTTTATTTGAAGAACGGATAATAGAGTGGAAAAAAAGAGCAACCGAGGTGTGTGCCGCTGCTCCATGCTTCTTGCTTTTTCTAAAGTGAAAGAAATCAAATTGCCACACCGCTGTGACATACACACAGAGGGGTCCCTCTTCTTCTAACTGAAAGGATGTGCTCCTTCGTCTTCTTCTATTCTACTTGTGCCCGCGGGCGCAAAAAGAAAGATTTCTCACTTCTTCCTTACTTGCTCCGACAACGTCTTCTAACCGCGGAATAGAATAATTGCAGAGTGGAGCAGCGAAGACTGACTCGGGGTCTCCTTTTGCCTCCAGCCTTTCTTTTCTACTTGTCACATGTGTGTGTGCCCCAGTGTTTTTTGGGCAAGAAAATATCAAAAGAAGTGTGAAGCGCTCCATAGATATGAGTATCCATATATGGACACATAGAGGGAGGACCCATCAAAAACAGGTCCCAAGAGATCAACAAAATTTTCAAGAAGAAGACGACGACGCGAGTTTCTTTTTTCTCTCCCTAAACGATGGAGAGGACGACGACTTCAGAAGCGAAAATATAGGAAAGCAGCGGAAACCCGAAAAACTAGAAAAACTAGATGGCCAATAAATCATTCACAAAATTATTTGGTCCCCCCGTTTTTGTGGTTTTTCCTCTTTTTTTCCAAGAATCTTAGGAAGCAGAAAAACGATAGAAAATTGTTTTCAGATCCTTCGAAAATTGATCTAATCGGAGGAAATTTTTAAGCAAAAAAAACATTTACAGTAATCTGATGGACACAGTATACAGTTTTTTAGAATTCTGAGCAAGACTTTTTTTTTATTTGAGCAAAAACAACGTCTACAGTATAGTTTTTTAGGATTCCAAAAACTCACAATTACTCATAACAGACGCCTCACTTAACAAGGCACGATACTGCTCACGATTCGCCTCGAATTCACTGAACATCTTCACATTCCACGTCGACGTTTTTTTATTCATAATGAGATTCTTGATAGCTGACAACGAGAAATAGCACTCTGATCTTCCTTTATTCCTAGGACCTCTAGCCACTTCATCATTGAACATGAAAAAATAATGCTGCCATTCGAATCGTTCAGCTATCCGGGTCACCAGCTTTCCCAGTGATTTATAACTTCCCATCATTCGGGTGAGCAATGGAAACTCATTACGATCACCGAGCTCATCGACGAGTGCAGTTGTTGTGAACACCGGAACACCTCGTCCCCAGAACTTTGAGATTCTAGCGATCGGCGCCAGCGCGTACACATAGGGAAGACCCATAATCGCATCGACAGTATTGTTGCAATAGTGTTCAATCATTTTTTGCGGACCGACTGCGTCCGAAAGTGCCGAGTTCTCAAATGTGACTTTGAGTGCACCACGTGGCAGAATTTTAAGGTGATAGACGTCTTCAAGGGCAACATCAAATACGGGTTTGGATTTGGCTAGAGTTAGGAGAAAAGGGTTCTTGCCACGATCGCCTTCTTCGTGTGGAAGACCGACGACAATATCAATGGGTAAATGGGGACTTCTGGAGGTAGAAGAACTGCTGCTGCTGCTGATCACCAACGACAATAATAGAACGTCGCTGAGAATCATTCGGACGGTACCATTCCCCTACTCTGAAGAAGATTCGAGATTCCAACTTCAGATGAGTAGGGGGGTCTTCTTGAGAATATTTGAGATAGAGAGAGAGAAAGAGAGAGTGACGCCTCTGGCCGCAACTGCTGCGGCGTTAGTAAGGGAGAGAAAAAAAACGAACAAACGAAGACTCCGCCCCCTGAAAAATTTTCTTTTCGCACAGAAGGGGGATCGCCGAGAGAGTGGAGATACAGAGAGAAGACAACGTTTTTTTTCCTTCGCACTATTTGCCTTGTTAGGCACGGAGGACGCATAGGGGGCCCCAAGCCAAGAAGGGTAGATGGGACCACAAATAGAGGAGGGCACACATAGATTCGAATCATGCGGCCGCGGCGACGGGTTAGTGCTCCAGAAGAGCGCAAAAGCAGGAAATATGCTGCAATGCAAACTTCGAGAGTTGTTTCTTCTTCTTCTTCTTTCATATGTAGGACCCATTGGATGGATGAATAGAGAAAGGGAAAACCGAAAAGTGCTTGAAGTCGTCGTCGTCGAGCGAGCCCATTCAGAATATCCGGTTTCTCTAGTTTCTTATTCCAACTTTTTATTCTATCCCCAATCTTTTTTCGACGGGCGCGAATTTTTGATTTTTCTCGTCTAGCTGATGACTACGGTAAGTTGGATCAAAGGTCCAGCTGGGATTCCTAGCCTAGAAACATTCCCTAGAGTCTAGCAGATTCGGCGGTAGATTTCAAGGTACAGTATCTCTTCAGCTGATCAACAGAGCTCTCTAGAGCTGACTATGCTAACTGTCAGGTATCTTTTGGTCCGGAAGCTCTGCCATCTATCCTAGAGCGAGTAGATTCCAAGAGATCCAAATAGGTACTGTATCTCCTCATTTCTGAGTTGGAATTAGCTCTGAACTGTCAGACCGAGGCCATAACCTGTCCTAGAGTCCTTAGTTTTTAAACTTTCCGAATTTCTGTAGCTACAGTATCTCTTCAGCTGAGCAAGCTCACTAGCACAGCCAACATCTTCTGCTGAAACTTTCTGCAAAGTGCAATGATCCACTAATTGCCTCCTTCTCTTGCCGAGGCAAAACGAGCCAGAACTATAGGACCACCACCTAATGTAATTAGATCCCATGTGCAGAGTGACGTCCTACTCGAAGGTCAAACTTCTGCTGCAAGGGGCGCCAGAGAGAGGGAAAGAGCCCTTTGAACACTTTTTATTTCCTTCAAATTTTCCACTTTCCCAGATTGACTTGGCTTTTTGATCGTCTCAGAAAGAAGCATTTTTTGCAAATGGTGCTCCTTCTGCACTAGCAGACACAGCTAGGGAGAAGAAAAAAGAAGAAGACATCGGACGTCATGTGTGTTTAGGAAATCCTGTTAAGTGGCGTGATTCCTTCTCGTCGTTTCCAGAAGACGTCGTCGAGGCGAAATTCGAATTTCGAATTCGTATATATTTTAAGAAGAAGAAAAAGAAGGGAATGGTGTTCCGTGTCCATCCGTGTAATCCGGTTTCCCATTTGTTGCAGTCCAAAGTGAACAGTAACTAGGAGGCAAAGGATGATTCGAATTACCAATGGGGGAATTTTTTTGGGTGACTAAACAAGAACTTGTTTTTGTTAAGTCGGCTCTCTTGTCTCTGTTTGTGAGAGAATGTGTCAACACACACAGGGAGTCTTGAATTCTTTATAATCAATTAGAGAAGAAGGGGAGAGTCTCTAATACTTCCAGACAACAACGTCTTCTGAAATAAGACGTCTTCTTTTTTTCGAAGTTAGAACTTCCTAAAGATAATTATTCTGCAAATTCCGTCGTCCAACGATGGCATGGCAAGTTTCGAATTTCAAACATATACAACAACTACTTCCGTCTTTTTCTTCTTCTTCTTCTTCTATTCTGTTTTTAGAAGACGTCCAACTTTGAGGGGAACTTCAGCTCATTCTTCGCCGGAACACCACTCGCTCTGGCGGATGCACCCCGGATGACGTCAGAATTTTTTTTTTGCGAAAAGTTAAGAAGTCGTGAGTGACATGGTGAGTCAATGGAGGGGATACTGTAGATTCTGTAATTTCTAAATCCAGCTATCTATCGCGATATATCTTGCTAAAGGATCAGCTAGGAATATAGATCTTTTGGCCCGGGAGCTCTGTTCTTGGACTATAAGATCAGCTAGGAACATGCGGACGAGCTCTGGAGCTATGTCGAGAACATCCTAGAATATAGTAGATTCGGTTGTAAATTCCCAAGCTTTCTGTAGGTACTGTATCTCCTCAGCTGAGCAACTGTCAGCTTGGATTCTATCTAGCTAGCCAGCTATTTTTGTATTCCAAAATCGCAACTCATGACTTTTTGACGCACTTATGTGCTTCTGATTCTCCAATTTTGTATTCATAATCTTCTGATGACCTCAACTGACCACGAGATTCTTCTAGAACTTTAAATTTTCCAGGGGACTCGAAATTTCGATTTTCCCGATTATAGAAAAAAAATCAATGATCAACTTGAATGATCAAACTGAAAAACCTAAACCCATTTGATCGGGAATGGTTCAAGGACAACCAACCAATCCAATTAGTGATTGCAACTTCGCTCTAATTGGAATCGTCCCTCACTTTTTTTGCAAACAGAAACTTTCAAGTCAAAAATTGCCAATTTTCCACCTGTACCATCCTAATTGAACAGGTGATTCTTCGAAGTTTGGTGTCACTTTCCCCTCTGAGCAATCGAATCTGTCGTGTTCAAAAGGTAAAAAAGGAAATCCGCGAGATCGTTTTCCCAGGTTCCCATGACTACGGTAGAGTGGGAAAATTCGATCTATTTTTGAGCCCTTTTTGAGCTATATGGGAGGAGCGGAAGACAGAAAATCAAAAGTTCATGATTTTCGTAACAATGGCATTATTGTGGTGTTGTGTCTCGTGTACAACACCAAATTAGGTGGAATTTTGGAAAGCAAAAAAACTACAGTAATCGAAGAAATTCGAGAATCTTGATCAGGCAAAGTGTGGAAAGAAGAAAAGGGGTCGCCTGGTTTCCGAAGCCATGTGTCGGATTCTAGGCCACCCTAGGTGGCTCAACGACCCCTAGCTAGATGATACTACTAGCGACCTAGAAACACGGATGGCCTAGAATCTAGGCCCTAGATTCTATAGCTTAAGGACAAAAGTTCTAGGCCATTTGGTTTCCTAGGCCAGGCGTCGGATTCTAGGCTACGTATCTTAATGAGGACTAACTAGAATGATAGCCTAGGATACGACTAGTGACCTAACAAGACAGCTGGCCTAGATTCTATAACTTAAGGATCAAAGTTCTAGGCCATTTGGTTTCCTAGGCCAGCTGTCGGATTCTAAGCCACGTCCCTCAACGACCACTAATTAGAATGATAGCCTAGAATACGACTAATGACCTAGAAATACGGCTTCCTAGGCCATGGGTCGGATTATAGGACACGTATCTCACTGATATAGAAGACGTCAAATTCAATAATTTACAGAATTTCATGACTCTTCTGAACCCCTAATCTTTAATTGCTCAGTCTCTATTTCTTCTTCTTCTCTGAATCACAAATTCCGAGGTTCTGATTTTCGATTCTATTTTTTTGCCTAACAGAAGAGGTGGGAACCTTTTTCTTCTTCTCAAAAATAGAACAGAATCCGACAGAAAACACACCAACATCGTCGTTTAAATATCAGCTTACAAGAGGGGAATAATTTGGCGACGCTGGCGGCGGCGTCTTGGGCGACTAATAGACTAGAGATCGTGTAAACAAAGATGATTGGAGGAAAGCTAGGAAAATCTTGGTTCCTTGAAGAGATATCAAAAACTTGTCAACTGATAATTTCTTTATCATAATATTATCGATGTTTTATCAGTCAGTTGATAACATTTTGATATCTTTCACAGGAACCGAGATAATTGAGCTCAAAGTTGTTGGAGCAATACGGTATGTCCAGATGGATGCACAGATTGAGCATTTTCAAATACTTACCATTCGATTGCATTGAAATCTCTCTCAACCATTGCTTAAACGTCTCCCGTTCTATCACCAAATCCTCATCGAATGGAAATTGCGGAGTGTTGAGTGCCCATTCCCGTTTAAACGTTTTACTCTTCTCGGTGAAGTATCGTTTGATGGCGTACAGTGAGAAGTAGCAATGTGATGACGTGGCTCCCGTCTCCTGACTCTCATCCTGTGTGATCACTCGATTCACCGCTCGTCGTTTGTCGTGGTAGAAGAATATGAGATTCAGATAGTTCAACGAAGAGTTGTTCTGTGAAATCGCGTCATCGTCGTGATAGGCAATCAACTGGTACATGGAGTCGGCTAGCAATCTGTAGCTTCCTTGCATACGTGTCAAAAAGGGATACTCTTTTTTGGAATTCAAAAGTGATGGCATTCCAGAAGTCGTCAGAATTGGAATTCCTCCGTTGAGTCCTGCTGTCACTTTGGTTACGGTAGCCAGTCCGTAGTTGTCGGCGAATCCGAGAATCGCGTCTAATCGATGTTCACAGTATGCCTGGATGACTCCAACTGTCGCATGCCTCTCCGCCAGCAAAATGTCTTCGTAGAGTTTCGAGTCCCAATACGTCAAATTGATCCATCCGGGCGGCAGATACTTCTGCCGTTCAACGACGTCTTGAACGGCGATATCGATGACGGGCATCGCTTTCTGAAGTGTCATCCCAAAGTTGTCATAGATTGATTCTTTTTTCGGAAGAATCACGATGACATTAAATGGAAACGGAGGCGGTGGCGGTGGGATGTGCGGCTGGTTGACGGCGCCGACGTCTTCGACGAAATCCGTCTGGACGTTCGCTGGCTGACGGAGGATGAGGAGGTGAAGAAGAATACATGAGAGTCGAGTTAGCCATCTGAGCATAGCCTCATAGGTACATTCACGGGGATGATTCACTGTAAAGCATCGGTAAGGTATGAAGAGGAGCATTTACGAGAAGAAAGAGAGCGAGTAAGACAAAAAACGGAGTTAATTTATCATATAATAGCTAGAACGTGGCAAAGCTACAGTAATCGTAGACTTTACCAAAATTGACGAATCTGGGCAGTGTCGTAAGCCTAAGCTCCGCCCCTTACATATCCAGATAGGGCTAAAAAGATGTAATTTATCGTATAAAAGCTAGAAGTTCTGGAATAGAATTAGAAACATGTCAAAGCTACAGTAATCCTGGATTTTCCTAAATTGTGCAAATCTGGACAAGACTCCCAAGCTCCGCCCAATTTTAAAGCTAGCTAGAGCTAGCAAAACCGAGCTAAGCCTTTTCTGGGCAGAAAAAAATTGAAGCTCATAATTGAGAAATTTAGAGTCTGATGACCTAGTTTTGGCTGGAAAAATCAAAGACCGAAAGTTACCATTTTAAGCTCCGCCCACTTTTCTAGAGCTAGAAAGACTGAGCTAAGCAACAGAGATAATTGGCCTGAAGAGCACAAAATCAAAAATTTTAGGTTTTCAATAGGACAGGAAAGGATCAGACGTGGCAAAACTACAGTAATCCTTGATATTCTAGCCTCCGTCGAATACTGCAAATCTGGGCGGGACTCTGAAGCTCCGCCCACTTTTGAAGCCATCTAGAGCTAGAAAGACCGAGCTAATGGTAAGCTTTTTCTGAGCAGAGGAAATTTGAGAGATGACCTAGTTTTGGCTGGAAAAAGCGACAATCGAAAATCACAGCTTTAAGCTCCGCCCCCTTTGAAGCCAAGAAACCAAGCTCAACCAGATAAAATTGGCATGGAGAGCACAAAATCAGGAATTTAAGAATCTAATGACCTAGTTTTGGTTGGATGAACTTTTAAAAGGTCCGACTGAATAGAAACAACGGAAATTGAATCCGATACAAAATTAGAAACAAGAAGAAGAAGATTCTGCAAAAACCTAACAAGACGAGAAAAAAGAGAAAGAGAGAGAGAGAGAGAAAAGTTGCAAAAACTGATAGAGATGATTTCACGGTGATCACAGAGAATAAGGGATAGGGGCGGAGGGAGAAGAAGAACAAAATATGAGGAAAAAAAAACGGAAGGTTGGGGCGCCTTTACAAAGAGGTCTCAGATGAAAACACGCACCCCAACTTTTCCTTCTTTTTTTCCGTTTTCCTCCTGGGTGAAGAAAAAAGAAGAAGAGGAGAAACAAAATATTTGAGAGAGGAGCGATGAGAGAGCGTGAGAGATAAGAGAGTTGGCAGAGAAGCAGAGGGGAAAAACCTTGAGAGTGAGGGAGAGAGCAGCTAGAGGAAACAGTGTAGACAAGCGGGGTCTTCTATGCGACTCTAATTCTCTTCTATCACTGATAATCTCTCGATTTTGGGACCGATTGGGTTTTGCAGGGAGAGAGACTCTGGGGTCGGTGTGGACTCTAACCTCTTGGCACCTTCTCCCCAGCACTCTCTCTCTCTCTCTCTCTCCTGAGCCAGGG